TAAAATATCCACTATGGAAGTTTCTCATCTTACACTGATCTTCCTTGTAATATTGGTGAGGGCCAACACTTCTCATGTGTTTCCACTTCACTTTTCTTGGACTATTTTCCCTTTTTTTGTGAATGGCTTGCTTTCATATTTTGCTAAATGTTTTTGAATGTCTTCTTTTCATTTTTGAGCTACATGACTGTAATATTTTTAAGAGCTGTCTATATCTGATGGATGCTGTTGCCTTGCCTGTGAATGGTAGCAGAATGGTTTGTTGAATGTGTGCGGGGTCAGACAGACCTTGTTTTCAATTCTAGTATTACCAAGTTCTAGTTGATTTGAACTTTGATAAGCCTCAGTTGTTCCTCTGTAAGACAGACAGAAATAATATTTATCTCATGAACTAGTTTCGAGAACTGAATAAGTTTGATAAATGCTTATTCTGATTCTCTATTCCAAATGCATCTTTCATTTTTTTTGTACTTGTACCAAAGTTTTCAATTTAGGGCAATCAAATCAGCCTTACATTTGCTTCCTTTATTTAAACACATATTCATCATTTCCAGTTACACGAATGAAGAGATTTTATTATGAGAGTTCCATACATGCATATAATTTTGATAATATTCATCATTCTTGTGTTACCCTTTCTTTCTTTTTAAAAAGGAGTTATTTATTTTTATGTGTGTGAGTGTTTTGCTTGCTTCATATGAGTGTTATGCTTGGGGAGGTCAGAAGAGGGCACAGGATCCTCTGGAGCTGGGGATACGGGAGCTTACCAGTCGCCATGTAGGGGCTGCGTGAGAATGAACTGAACCTGGGTCTTCTGTGAGAATAGCAAGTACTTTCAGTGGTGGAGCCACCTCTTCAGACCCCATAATCCAAATTGCTGTTACTGATTAGAAACCAGAACTTTGTAAAAAAAAAAAAACAATGGCCTCATATATGTCAAGGGTGTTCCAGCATCATTTATGTAGATGTACTAAAATATCCTGACAAGAAGCAACTTAGAAGAGAAACTTGATTCTATTTCAATCCCACGTTACAGGCCATTGTTGTGGGGAAGTCAAGGCATCAAGGTGGGGAAGTCAATATAGATATGTTACATGTAGATACGTCACATCACATTTATAGTCAGAAACAGAGAGAAGCATACATGCTCGCTCGCCTGTGCTCAGCTTTATCTCACCACCCGCACACACTTCAGGATTCACTGCATAAGGAATAGTGCCGCCCACAGAGGACATGCCTACATACCAGCCTCACACAGGCAATCCCTCACTGAGACGTTCCCTGATTCTAGGCTGTGGCAGACTGGCAAGTGAAGCTCACCATTACATATATGCTGTTGCTGTTTTTGTTGTTGTTGTTATTTTTCTTCAATTCTTTTTGTTTGTTTGTTTGTTTTCAAGACAGGGTTTCTCTGTGTATCCCTGGCTATCCTGGAACTGGCTCCGTAGACCAGGCTGACCTCAAACTCAGAGATCCACCTGTCTCTGCCTCCTGAGCACTGGGATTAAAGGCGTGCACTACTACACCCTGCTTGTTTGTTTATTCTTGATCCAGTGCTGTTGTAATAGCTACAGCTTCACGATGTTTAAGCAACTTCTGGTTATCCATAAATTTTACTAACTCACATTGTCACTTTTTACATCATAGTCTTTCATTATACATCATGATTTTTTTTAAAAATCCCAAGTGCTGGAATTAAAGGCATGCGTCGCCACTGCCTGGCACTATTAACAATTTTTACTACCATTTAAAAAACACACAAAAGAACACTAACCCTTTTTATGAAGCTCTGCACACTCCAGATTCAACAGTAACATTTTACACTTCCTCTTGCACAGATCCACCATTTTCTGTTTTACTTCTGAAGAATTTTTAAGTAAGCTTGACACATCTCCCTTCAGATGTTTCAGTACGGATCTCTAAGAAACAAGGACACTTCAAGCTGAGTGTGGTGCTGTGCACAGACAGCCCCGGCACCCAGGGTGTGCAGCTAGCAGGGTCCTGAGTGCTAGATTAACTTGAGCTCCATAGGAAGACCCTGCATCAACTTGGAAAGAAAGGGAATAGGAACATTTTCTCACACAATCGAATGTCATTGTCACACCGAATCAACCGCCTCTGTATTTGCTTCCTATCTTCCTTATTATTACAAAACTGACTTTGTGGGGTTGGAAAGATGGCTTGGAGGTTAGGGGTGCACACTGCTCTTGCAGAGGACCCAAATTTGATTGCCAGAACCCATGTTGGGTGGCTTACAACCTTTTTTAACTCAAGACCTAGGGGATCTGAGACCTTCTTCCGGATTTTGGGGTACCTGCACTCACAGGCACATACTCTTATACAGACACACAGACATATATGTGTATATACATACATATATATAATTAAAAAGAAATCTTTATTAAAAAATGAGTTTGTACAGTTGTTGGTACCAAATCCATGCAAGGAGCACTCACTGCATGGTTGCACCATCCCTAAAGTTTTATTTATCCTAGAATAGACATTCTGGCTCATTTCTGCCCCTCTCCCAGTCATCCCTTTTGCTATTTATGGTTGAGCAAACTGATGAATGTCTAGTTAGTGTGGCCCTGATCCCTTCCTTGTGATGTCTTTCAGCTCTCCCCTGACTTCACACTTCTGTATACAGCATTTGCTCTAGCTACTCAACAAGATGGAAATTCCCTGGCAAATGTCTTCCCGGGTGGCGGATGACATGTGCTTCCCATCTCGTCACTCGAGGAGGAGCCCATGCCTGGCTCACCGTTGTTGCTCTTGTTCAGACGGTGTGATGTATTTCAGCTGGTACACCTCAATCCTCTTCTGGTAAAGCCATGCTCCCCACACAAGGACAACAAGTATAGCATGCAACGATGAAATGGCATCCCATAAACATTAGGAAGCTGTGATGACCAGTGCCTGAGACAGCAACTTAATTAGGGCTTGCAAATTCCAAAGGGTTTAGATTGTAGTTGTGTATAAATTACACTGACCAGGTTGGACATCTTTGTCTCTTGGATACTTACTATATGGGGAAGAGCAGGTGTATATATGCATAGTATTCTATATACTACATATATGTATGTATATGATGTATATATAATTATTATACATAAGGTGTGTATGCATAGTATTCTATATACTATATATGTATATAATATATATTATATATATAATTCGTATATATTCTCCGGTAATTTCATACATGAACACAATATATTTAGATCATCTCTTTCCAACTCCCCCAGATCTCCCTCCACATTCCCCTTCCAGTTCATGCCCTTCTCTCTCTCTCTCTCTCTCTCTCTCTCTCTCTCTCTCTCTCTCTCTCTCTTTTAATAACCCAGTGAGTCCAACTAGTGTGTCCATATGTTCATGTTGTCAGGCTCCATTGACTGCGGCACAGGCAACCCACCGTGGACCACACCACTGAGGAGCACTGACTCTGCTGCCCCTAGTGGCCATCAGCTGCCAATGCTCCTCAGCTAAAGGTACCCCGAACTTCTCCATGCCAGAGTATTGTGACAGGCCTGATGTGGTCAGGTCTTGGGCTGGGTACAACAGCTGCTGTTACTTCATGAGTACAGCGACCCTGTCATGTGTAGAAGACATTATTTACAGCAGTCTTCCAGGACCTCTGGCTCTTCCTGGATGTTCCTTGAACCTCAGTGGTGGTAGCAGTGAGTGGTGATGAACAGGGATGAACACGTCACAACTCCATAGTCACTTTATTCTCTGCCCTTTGGCCAGCTGTCATTTTAAAAATATCATATTATGGGCAATTTCATCCTGTTTATTCAGATCTTTAAAAATGTCATTTAATAAATTTTTTAATTAATTAATTTATTTAAGGATTTCTGCCTCCTCCCCGCCACCGCCTCCCATTTCCCCCCCGCCCATGTACTCACTCATATTTGGTTTCTAGCCATAAATAAAGGACATTGAGCTTATAATTCACGTTCCTAGAGAAGCTAAATAAGAAGGTGAATCCAAAGACAAACATATAGTCATCCTCCTGAATATTAACCTTCATCAGGCGATGAAATGAGACAGAGACAGAGACCCACACTGGAGCACCAGACAGAAATCTCAAGGTCCAAATCAGGAGCAGAAGGAGAGGGAGCACGAGCAAGGAACTCAGGACCGCGAGGGGTACACCCACACACTGAGACAATGGGGATGTTCTATCGGGAACTCACCAAGGCCAGCTGGCCTGGGTCTGAAAAAGCATTTAATAAATTTTTATAGGTTTCTTTTCCCCCAGAAATAATTTTGTGTATATTTCAGGAAGTGTTTACGTGTGTGTGTGTGTGTGTGTGTGTATGTGTGTGTGTGTGTGTAGTGTTCAACAGGGATTTATTTATTCTTCTCTCATATATTACATCTGGACTACAGTTTCCTCTTTCTCCTCTCCTCCCGGTCCCCTCCACACTCTGCCCTTGCCCATTCACTCTGTTTCCCTTCAGAAAAGGACAGGTCTTCCAGGGCTATCAATCAAACATGACATACCAAGTTGCAATAAGACTAGGCAACTCCTTCACATCAAGGCTGGACAAGGCAACCCAGTAGGAGGAAAAGGGACCCAAGAGCAGGCAAAAGAGTCAAGGAAAGCCCCTGCTCCCACTGTTAGGAGTCCCACAAGAACACCAAGCTTCACAACTACAACATAGGCAGAGGGCCTGGATCATTCCCATACAGGCTCCTTGCTTGTGGGTCCAGTCTCTATGAGTCCCTATGAGCCCTGGTTAGTTGGTTCTGAGATTTTCTTGTGGTGTCCTTAACCCTCTGGCTTCTACAATCCTTCCTCCCCCCATTCCGCAGATTTCCCAGCTCCACCTAATGCTTGGCTGCGTCTGCATCTGTTTCCATCAGTTGCTGGGTGAAGCCTCCCCAACAGGGCTTTTTAAACTATTAAGTGTGTCAGTCTGTTTGGGCGGCTGTAACAAATGACTATAGAATGGCTTATAAGCAACATTTATTTCTGAGAGTTCTGGAGGCTGGGAAGTCCAGGTTCAGGGAGCCAGGAGAGTCCAGGTTTGGAAAGGACTGGTTTCTGGTCTTTGTACTACTTGCTGTGTCCTTACGTGGTGGGAGGGCAAGGCAGTTCTCTGAGGTTCTTTCTTAGGAGGTTTTACACCTCACTCCCCAGGGTTCCGTCTGTAAAGGTGGAGGAGAACATGCAGAGAACCTGGTTATGCTGGGTCAGGATTGGTAGGAGGGCCCCTCTTTTGGACACAAGGACCCTGGGGCCGTGATTCCCAGGGGGTGCCCATTTCTCCCCCACTTTAAGCCCGTGGGCCCTCAGTGGGCAGATGCTAAGTGACGGTGACTTCCAGAGGAGGAAAGGACGGAATATCACTCATAAGGACAGTCCTAGGGGGAGGGAGAGCAAAAGGGCTATCCTCTCCACTCTGCTCTGGGGACAGTCCTGCCACATATCCACCTTCATTTCCTTCTTTGTACAAAGGAGAAGTTCAAGGCCACCGATCCCTGAGATCCCACAAGCTCAGAGTCATGTCTCTCTGCCCCTCTCCTCCAAGGACCGTTCCTCCATGCATTTATGGGGTAGACAGAGGCAGGGGAAGAGGGAGGGCCATGCACCGCAGTGGGGGCTACTCACTGTCCTCTGTCGCCTTCACAGGCTGCACGCATTTGAAGCCACAGTGCCAGTAACAGCACTTCTTCGGACCCTCACAGTTCCTGTCCCTGTGACACTGGGGTGGCTCTCCTCTGATGCAGCGCACATTGTCCGGTGGGCAAACTCCTTCTTTCTCTTAGTGGTGGAAGAAGCCACAAGGTAAGGGGACGGCTTCAGGCCTGTCTATAATCTGGGAGTTCCCAACCCAGCTCCACCCAACGCACCATATCCACTCACCCCCTTTGACTCCATCTCCAGCTACCAGAGTGGAGGAAATGAGGAGCACGGTGAGGACCAAGATGCTGCCTGGACGCATGCTGCCTTGTGGCCAAGACTGAGGCTGGAACTGGGGCTGGAACTGGGGCTGGAACTGGGGCTGGCTTTCTTTTGTTTCTGCTGGGAGTGGCAATGGGTAGGGCTGAAATTTGCTGATACAGGGAGGCCTGTGTTCTCTAAGCTGTAAGAAAGGGGATTTGGGGCACTTCCAGCATCTCCCTGTTTGCATAAGTCGTCTCTGCTGACATCAAATTACCATCGAGACTGCATTAGCTTCTGCGGGAAGGAAAGAGGCACAGGAGAAACAAAGTCACTCCAGGACACACAGCGGAGCAGTGGTAGGGCCAGTTCTCTTCCAACCTGATGTGTTCAGCACTGAGCCCCGTTCCTCTGTGTCTTCTTGACAGAGGCGTTCATTTCCTCCTGTCATGTGTGGACTGCTCCCCAGTTTTCTTCTCGCCTCAAGGAAGGCTCTGTCACACCCGGTTTAAAACCCGATCATGGTGTGCTCCAAACCATGCCGCCTTCGTGCGGCACAGGTGAGAACAGACCTAGTCTGTCACTAGATGCACGACGAGAAGGCATTTCCTTTCTAGATCCCTTTCCTTATTCATGAGATGGTGTCATAGTTTTATCTCATTCATAGGAGTTATGTTTTATTTCTTGAAGTACCCCCACCCAAAAAAGCCCAATCAGCGTCGCCATCTCTCAGTCTTGGACTCCAAGGTTCCTCCCTTCAGAAATATATATCCACTATGCCACTATGGACTCCTGGATTTTTTTTTTTTTTAAAGAAAGCCCAAGGGCAGAACAGTGCTATGTGTGTGATACAGGACAACTCTTAAAGTCTTTTCTTTGAACTGGCTCTACAGGTGGAAAAAACTTTCCTTCACAAGCCCAGAAACTCGAGAGGATAAATGCTGCTCCCCCCCCGCCCCCCACACACACCGGGATGTCTGTTCATTCACTGCTGACCTTTGCTAGCAAGTACATCTTGCACCTCCTGGCCTAACTAAAAGTTCCTTGTTCCGCTTAGTTGTTAACTGATTCGGCCCTGAAAATATAAACTTCCAAACCCTGGGTTTTTCCACAGTGCCGCAAAGCCCATATATATCAACCACGTTCGCCCTTCAATAAATGGCATTCTCTTAGCACAGATGACCCCGCTGTGCGGTGTTGCTCTAAATCCTCAGCTTCTTGCTAGCAACTCAGTACTGCGGTAGCACTATTGCTACAGATAAATACATAACATACTATAAAGAAACAATGAGTACTTCTGGGGAAATCCTGTCTTTCGCCGGTGTTTTCCCCAAGGTCTGCTCTTTGATGCCTTATTCCTGGTTGGGCTACCACGCCTAAAATTTACCATTTTGCCTAAGCTGGTATGATAGCTGTAAGTGATAAAAGGGAGGCTTCCTAGTCCAGGAAGAGCACCAGCTCCCTACTGGGCAATGAGTCATGACTCCAGGCTCACTAATGTGTCCTCTGTCCCTGCGCTGATTTCTGGGGAGTTGGCGAGCTTGTGCATGAATGGTGGAGTTTAGGTGGATGTTTCTGTTCTGCCAGCCATTCCAAAGTAACCACACAGAGACTTAACTATAAATGATTGGCAGGTAGGTCAGGCTTATGACTAACTAGCTCTTAAAACTTACATTAACCCATATATCTTATCTACCCTCTGCCATGTGGTGATACCTTCTTTCAGTACAGCCTGTTTAGCTCTTGCTTCCTCTGTGTCTGACTCCTGTGACTCCGCCCTTCTTCTTCCAGCCTCCTCTGTGTCTGTTGTCCTGCCTATACTTTCTGTCTGGATACTGGTCAGTCAGTTTTTTATTAAACCAATTTGAGTGACAAATCTTTACAGTGTACAAAGGGATTATTCCATAGCATTGGAGTGTGCTGGCTATTCTTCACCCTCATCTTTTTATTGCTAACTTTCAAAATATACAGAACATGTTAAAAACCAAAACAGTGACACTCATGTGCACTCACATACCTGTATTGGACTGGGCAGTTCATAACAGACTGGGGTATCCAGATCTATCGTTGAAACATCTGGAACTAACTGCAGGTGGTGTATCTTCCATGCTTTACAATATATCGCCATGTGAATTCTAATAATGAAAGTCTCTAGCATACAAAATGATGACCGTGTCTTAGAAAACTAACAATGAATGGTACATGCAACCCTAGAGTACACATTTGCTTTCCTGTCTCCAGAGTATAGTTGTAGCTAATTTTTGATGCAATTTCCTTAAAACAACTTTACCATACAATAAGCTCTACAGATGAAAGAATGCCATCAATGTTTCTCACCCTTTGAGAACAGCAGCTTTGAACCTATAATTTAGAAAAGATTTTTGTTGTTGTTTAGTTTTTTTTAAACTTTTTTTTTACTTATTTATTTAACTTTATTATGTTTGTTGGTGTGAAGGTGTCAGATCTCATGGAACTGCATTTTCAGACAGTTGTGAGCTGCCATGTGGGTGCTGGGAATCGAACCCGGGTCCTCTGGAAGAGCAGTCAGTGCTCTTAACCGCTGAGCCATCTCTCCAGCCCCTGTTTAGGTTTTTCTTGATAGAATTTTTCTACAAGTCCTAGCTATCCTGAAAATTTGCTGTGTAAACCAGGATGGCCTTGAACTCATAGATAGACCCCCTGTTCTTCCTCCCAAGTGCTGGGATTAAAGGTGTGTGCTGCCACACCCAGCAGTTTATAATGGCAGAACATCATAGAGCATAACAGATGAGAATTTCACAAGTCACCCCTACTCTAAGAGGTGCCTTCTGCCTCAAACGTTTTGTTTATCATTCGTATGTTTTACTTCCTTGATGGACATGGATGTTGTCAAATCCTGTGGCTTCTGAGGTACAGCTACAGGTGGAGTGAAGGCGTCCTCATTCTTGGAACTAGATGTCACACCAGAGGCCATTTGCTTCTCTAGTTGACTTTGGTCTTGGTTTAAAAGAGCCATCTGCTTTTGTTGCTTTGATCTTTCCTCCCTTTTTATGGGGAAGTGATATGACTCTAAATGGAACTGGAGAACTGGCCACGGAGGAGCAGGCCAGGGTCATCCCAGCTCTCAGGGGGCAGAGGCAGGAAGCTCAATAGTTAGAGACCAGCCTGGGCTACATAGTGAGACCCTTCCCACCTTACGCAACAATACCAGAAGCAACAACACAGCACGACCCCCTCCTCAACCAAAACCAACATATTCTGTGTGCATGAACGTAGTTTTGTAGCTATTGTTAACAACGTGTAACGTTCTGGAAAAGGCAAAGAGACAAGAACAGAGATTGTATGCACATGGCCAGTGGTGCTCAGGGACTGAGAGCAGAATGTTACTATAATGGAAAAACAGACACACAAACAAAAACAAGTGGTGGAGATGTGTTGAGAGAAATGCCCTGTGTCCTCCTGAGAGTAGCACTCGCTACCCAAATCTATGCTTTTGTTAAAATGTATACGACTAGACACTGAATAAATGAACTTCTCTGTATGTATCAAGTTAGTCAAGGCTCTCTAGCAGTACTTACAAATCAAGTAAGGTTTGGAGGGCTGTGGGGGGTGGTGGCAATGGGTGGGTGGTGGTGTTAGAGGTTAAGGAGGCAGCTCAAGGACAGGGACTGTGGGGTCAGGATGGCAGATCTGAGGTTGCACTCTTGAGTTAGAAGCGCACATGAGGACAGACTGCGAACCCAGACAGGAATTGTCTTGAGAAGTCTTTGCTTTTCCAGAAACCTCTCTCTTTCTCTTTTAAAAAATTATGTTTTTATTTTACATTCCAACTGCAGTTTCTCCTCCCTCATCTCCTCCCAATCCCTTCCTCACCTCCTCTCTGCCTCCCCATCCATCCCTCCTCCCTTTCTATTCAGAAAAGTAGAGGTTTCCCATGGATATCGACAATACATGGCATATCAAGTTGCAGTAAGGCTAGGTACCTCGCTTTGTATTATGGCTGGGCAAGGTGACCCAGTATGAGAAGTAGGGTTCCAAAAGTAAGTAAAAGAGTCAGAGACAGCCCCTGTTCCCACTGTTAGGAGTTCCACAAGAAGACCAAGCTACACAACTATAACATATATGCAGTGTGTCTAGGTCAGTCCCATGCAGGCTCCCTGGTTGTCAGTTCAGTCTCTGTGAGGCCCTGTGAGCGCAGGTTAGTTGATTCTATGGGTTTTCTTGTGGTGTCCTTGACACCACGGGCTCCTACAATCCTTCCTCCCTCTCTTTAGCAGGATTCCCCGAGCTCAACCTAATCTTTGACTGTGGGTCTCCACATGTTTCCATTGGTTGCTGGAAGAAGCTTCTCTGATGACAATTGGATTAGACCCTAATATTTGTGTGTGGCAGAATATCATTAAGCGTCATTCCATTGACATTTTTTCCAGTTGTGTTTGTTTCTGTCCTAGGTCTCTGGGCCATCCAGCCTGTGGGTCCTGGCGCTCCAGGCAGTGTCAGGTGTGGGCTCACTCTCATGGCGTGGGTCTCAGGCTGGACCAGTCCATTGGTTGGCCACTCCCATAATGTCTGTGCCATTCTTATCCCAGCACATCCCTTAGGCAGAACAGACTGTAGGTTGAAGGATGTGTGATTGGGTTTGTGTCCCAATCCCTCCTCTGGAAGTGTTGTCTGGTCACAGGAGCTGGCAGTTGAGGTTACACATGCGCTATTGCTCCATCTTTGTCTTCCTGCTCTCAGCTGATTGGATGAGACCTACTCACGCTGTAGTTAGGGTTTCTCTCTTTTGGTCCACCAGCCTGAAATCGGCTTGCTGGATCTCCACTCTTTGTGACCCCATTCAGGCTCTGGACTCTCTTATACACAAACTTGCACAGGGCTTGTGTGTGTGTGTGTGTGTGTGTGTGTGTGAGCAGGGACAAGGTGTGAGGGAGGGAAAGAAGGGACATCAAGCTCCAGAACATGCTTTGTGCCAGCTCCTCTGTTCCACTGTTGGTTGGCACCCCGATGTGAACTTAGCTTGTACCCCACACCCTGTTGAGTTTAACCCTGCTTGCTTGGAACCTTCTGAAAGTCTTTCAAGTGTGCTGGGAGTCTAAAATAAATGACTGTGT